GCTGTAATAATACGAAATGTTCCGATTGTATGCTTGGATGTTACCGCGGAGGCTGGCTTGTAAACAATGCCACCGGCAGAACATGTGAGCCTGGCTCAGGCCTCACATAGACGCGTCTTGGACAAATAGCGTTGAGCGAGTTTTTTAGCACTATGCGAGGCAAAATTTTAGTGATAAAATGTATCGCTATGCGGATTTAACGTTATGTGATGCCAACAGTATGCGGGGGTCCACTGTACATATATACACATGCCCTTCCAGGTTTTCTTCTATTTTCTTACTATTGTTTACTTCCTCTTATCTCCATGGGGAAGTGGAACAAAATTCTTCCTCTGTAAGTCATGTGTATCATAAGAGGCAACAAAAATGTCGGGAGCCTACCAGCTTTCTCAAGATTGGAGGCCGCTAGAATTTTATTGTACTATTACAGGACTGGCACTGGCTTGCAAGCTGTAATATTATGGGACTGACAGTGAAAGAAGTACTCTCCCAATATAGGAGCTTTTAAAGAAACAGTGTATTATGCCAAGATAAAACCATTCCCATTACTAAATTAACTAATTGTAATATTATTGTATGTTTTGTATTACCCCACTATTATAAATCTAATTAATGTTAATCACTTCAGTTACCTAACTTTTATATCAGTTTGCAATAATGTATATTAACCCTTTCACTGTCGGGTCCCATAATATTACGGCTTGCAAGCCAGTGTCGGTCCCATAATACTACGCCAAAATTCTAGCAGCTTCAGATCTGGTGGAAGAAAACTCCCATCAGATCTCCTCCAACAATACCTCCATCATCACTCCATTTAAGACCATTTTATCACCCTGTCTTCTCAGAGCACCCACCATCATATATATATATATATATTGTATCTCAAATTTTTCAGTGCTACTCAAAACTGAATTTCTTTATCGGGGCATATCATAACCTAAGCCCATTGTAACTCGAGGGATGACTATATCTTTTATGTATATATTATCAGGTATTATGTATTATTATCAGGAATTATGTGGATTAAAGTGAAGGTTGGATGTGAAAAGTGGGTCATAATAAGCGTGTATGCACCTGGAGAAGAGAGGAATGTAGAGGAGAGAGAGAGATTTTGAACCAAGTGAGAGAGTAATTGTGGTAGGGGATCTGAATGCTAAAGTAGGAGAAACTTTTAGAGAGGGTGTGGTAGGTAAGTTTGGGGTGCCAGGTGTAAATGATAATGGGAGCCCTTTGATTGAACTTTGTATAGAAAGGGGTTTAGTTATAGGTAATACAATTATTTAATAAATGTATGGAAGAGGGTAAGGTACCTAGGGATTGGCAGAGAGCATGCATAGTTCCTTTGTATAAAGGCAAAGGGGACAAAAGAGAGTGCAAAAATTATAGGGGAATAAGTCTGTTGAGTATACCTGGTAAAGTGTATGGTAGAGTTATTATTGAAAGAATTAAGAGTAAGATGGAGATTAGGATAGCAGATGAACAAGGAGGCTTTAGGAAAGGTAGGGGGTATGTGGACCAGGTGTTTACAGTGAAACATATAAGTGAACAGTATTTAGATAAGGCTAAAGAGGTCTTTGTGGCATTTATGGATTTGGAAAAGGCGTATGACAGGGTGGATAGGGGGCAGTGTGGCAGATGTTGCAGGTGTTGGTTGTAGGAGGTAGGTTACTGAAAGCAGTGAAGGGTTTTTACGAGGATATTGAGGCTCAAGTTAGAGTATGTAGGAAAGAGGGAAATTATTTCCCAGTAAAAGTAGGCCTTAGACAAGGATGTGTGATGTCACCATGGTTGTTTAATATATTTATAGATGGGGTTGTAAGAGAAGTAAATGCGAGGGTCTTGGCAAAAGGCGTTGAGTTAAAAAATAAAGAATCACACATAAAGTGGGAGTTGTCACAGCTGCTCTTTGCTGATGACACTGTGCTCTTGGGAGATTCTGAAGAGAAGTTGCAGAGATTGGTGGATGAATTTGGTAGGGTGTGCAAAAGAAGAAAATTAAAAGTGAATACAGGAAAGAGTAAGGTTATGAGGATAACAAAAAGATTAGGTGATGAAAGATTGGATATCAGATTGGAGGGAGAGAGTATGGAGGAGGTGAATGTATTCAGATATTTAGGAGTGGACGTGTCGCGGATGGGTCTATGAAAGATGAGGTGAATCATAGAATTGATGAGGGGAAAAGGGTGAGTTGTGCATTAAGAGTTGTGGAGACTAAGAACTTTGTCCTTGGAGGCAAAGAGGGGAATGTATGAGAGTATAGTTTTACCAATGCTCTTATATGGGTCGTGAAGCATGGGTGATGAATGTTGTAGCGAGGAGAAGGTGGAGGCAGTGGAGATGTCATGTCTGAGGGCAATGTGTGGTTTGAATATAATGCAGAGAATTCGTAGTTTGGAAGTTAGGAGGAGGTGCGGGATTACCAAAACTGTTGTCCAGAGGGTTGAGGAAGGGTTGTTGAGGTGGTTCGGACATGTAGAGAGAATGGAGCGAAACAGAATGACTTCAAGAGTGTATCAGTCTGTAGTGGAAGGAAGGCGGGGTAGGGGTCGGCCTAGGAAAGGTTGGAGGGAGGGGGGTAAAGGAGGTTTTTGTGTGCAAGGGGCTTGGACTTCCAGCAGGCATGCGTGAGTGTGTTTGATAGGAGTGAATGGAGACAAATGGTTTTTAATACTTGACGTGCTGTTGGAGTGTGAGCAAAGTAACATTTATGAAGGGGTTCAGGGAAACCGGCAGGTCGGACTTGAGTCCTGGAGATGGGAAGTACAGTGCCTGCATTCTGAAGGAGGGGTGTTAATGTTGCAGTTTAAAAACTGTAGTGTAAAGCACCCTTCTGGCAAGACAGTGATGGAGTGAATGATGGTGAAAGTATTTTTTTTTCGGGCCACCCTGCCTTGGTGGGAATCGGCCAGTGTGATAATAAAAATAAAATAAAATTATCAGGTATCTCTTTTCTTCTCTCCAGAGACTAATATTCCAAGTACTTTGAGGCATTCCTAGTGGTTGAGGAGTTTTATTGGCTGTGTAGGGGCAGTAAACAATCTTCGTATCTTTTCCAGTTCTTTTCTCTTCTGCCTTGAATGAAGCTGTCAACACTGACAGTTCTAAATAAGAGAACACAATCAGTTTAACCCCTTCAGGGTCCAAGGCCCAAATCTGAAGTGGTGCCCCAGTGTCCAAGAATTTTCAAAAAAAAAAAAAAAATTATATTTTTTCTTATGAAATGGTAGAGAATCTTTTTGTGAAGGTAATAAAACAAAAAGTACGAAATTTGATGGAAAATTGACGAAATTATGCTCTCGCGAATTTTGATGTGTCAGCGATTTTTTACGAATCGGCAATTTTGCCGACTTTGACTCCCATTTTAGGCCAATTACATTATTCCAGTCAACCAAATTCTTAGCTATTTCACTAGTATTACTTCTATTCTATCGATTGAGCAAAAGAAATTGCCAAGTCAACTGTTTCAACTACAAATTAAAGTGATCAGAAATTGTTAATTTGGCCAATTTAACACAAAGTTCAAAATATTCCAATTTCAAAATAGGGTCCAGAATAAACAATGTAGGTATTCCTGGAACTAAACTAGCATTTCCTCTGTTCATCAGTTACATTTTGAGGCTTTACAAATAAATTCCATTTTGATTTTTTATTCACATAATGAATTTTTATTCACACCAAAAAATAGAAGATTTACTCTTATGCAATATTGTAATAATTGTATAAATCTTTCTTTCATTCAACACACCAGCCGTATCCCACCGAGGTGGGGTGGCCCAAAAGGAAAAACAAAAATTTCTCCTTTCATATTTAGTAATATATACAGGAGAAGGGGTTACTAGCCCCTTGCTCCTGGCATTTTAGTCGCCTCTTACAACACGCATAGCTTACGGAGGAAGAATTCTGTTCCACTTCCCCATGGAGATAAGAGGAAATAAACAAGAACAAGAGCTAGTAAGAAAATAGAAGAAAACCCAGAGGGGTGTGTATACATATGCTTGTACATGTATGTGTAGTGTGACCTAAGTGTAAGCAGAAGTAGCAAGACGTACCTGAAACCTTGCATATTTATGAGACAGACAAAAGACACCAGCAATCCTACCATCATGTAAAACAATCACAGGCTTTCGTTTTACACTCACTTGGCAGGACGGTAGTACCTCCCTGGGCGGTTGCTGTCTACCAACCTACTACCTATAAATTGTATAAATATCATCACCATATTTGTGAATGCATATTAGACCCACCAGCTGGCGTGTATTAGACGTGTGAGGTCGTTTGTTTACTCTTGAATATCGGCAAAAATTTAACATTTCTGCTACTTTGAGCTCAGTTTCAAGCCATTTCCAGTACGAAAACCAATCAAAATTATCTATTTCTGTAATATGTCTTCCATTCTATCAAATGAGACCAAGAAATCGCAAATAGAATTATAAAAAACATACGAAAAAGCACTGCAAAGTCGCTGTTTTAATCGAAAAATCATGATTTCAGTTTTTTCTCTCATTATACACAGCGTGCTGCAGGATCTGTTTTATGTGGTGCACACATACCACATAGATGTATTCTCTCATATCTAGGCCCAAATGTACCTGAACGTAAAGCCGTAGATCTATGGGACGGACCCTCAAAGGGTTAAATGGTGTTGCCATTGGGGTTATCTCTCTTCTTTTGAAAATTCTCCTTATCCATTGTGTTATTCATGCTATGAGGTGGTACTCTTGTGTTTTATTATATCCACTGATCCTTTTCAATTCTTCTCTGATATTATTATGCAAAAGTCTTTTAAATGTTCTTCAAATGTTTTGAAATGTTGATTTATATGTAAAGGGCACCTATGACTATTTTGAATTAGTCTAAATACTGTACCTATGCTAAAAGAAAAGTCAAATTTTCTGTTTAAGAGTCAGCAGAAAGAATACTGAAGTTGAGATTCAGAACCTTAAATGTGTAATTTTGTTTGTCACAGAAACTCTCATTTTTCTTCCTCAGACGCAAGATGGCACATCTTCGTGACGAATTGGAAGGAGAACTACGCTCCCAGCTGAAGCGTCAGGCAGCTGCCCATAGTGACCACTTGGCTGATGTTTTATATGTTCAAGAAAAAGAATTAGAGGCCAAGTATATTAAACTTATTATTTGTCACTAAGTAAAACTGATGAATGAGCTTAAGAGTATTAGTTGGTTGGTAGAGAGCAAGCATTCATGGAGGTAATACCATCTTGCTGTATGAATGTGGGATGGAAGGTTGTTAATAGTCTTGCACTCTAGTCGAATTGTTAGTCACTTTCAGTCTTGTTCGTGAACATGTAAGATGGCAGGTAAATCTTAGAAAATTCTTCTTACAGTCACTACGTATACACTTATCTTTACTTTCCTTTGTGCTTATTAATTTTTTTATTTTTGTAATATTTCACCTCCAATTAAGATAGTTCAGTCTGAGAATTGACCAGGGAGGTTGACGATTTCAGAATTCACTAAAAAACACTGTACAGTGGACCCCCGCATAGTGACTTTAATCCGTGCAAGAGGGCTGATTGTTATGCGAAATGGTCGGTATGCGAATGAATTTTCCCCATAAGAAATAAGGGAAATCAAATTAATCCGTGCAAGACACCCAAAAGTATGAAAAAAAAAATTTACCACATGAAATATACATTTTCCTACACACAAAGAGAAGGATACATGCACAATAGTAGAGTAGTACATGCACAATATATATTGTGCATGTACTACTCTACTAAATGAAGAATAAATGACACTTTCCTTTATTGAAGATGCAGCAATGACTGATGAGACACTGTGTCCTGGGAGTGCCTTTTCCTCCTGAGTACTGTAGGTCCTGTTTGGCATTTTCTTCCAGAACATGCCTTATCACACTGTGTATGCCACTACAATTCATAAATCTCTCAAACCAACCTTTGCTGGCTCTAAATTCACTAATATGAGCACTAGTTCCAGGCATTTTTCCCTGTTCACCTGGGTGTTAGTCGACTGGTGTGGGTTGCATCCTGGGAGACAAGATTAAGGACCCCGATGGAAATAAGTTAGATGACACTGACTTTTTTGGGTTATCCTGGGTGGCAAATCCTCTGGGGTTAATTGTTTCTTGGTATTCTCAATAAGCCACACCAACAACGGTGCTACAGCAGCAGCAGCAGCTGACAGTGCTACAGCAGCAGCAGACGATGCTACAGCAGCAGCAGCAGCAGACGATGCTACAGCAGCAGCAGACGGTGGTACAGAAAGCAGCAGCAGCAGACGATGCTACAGCAGCAGCAGACTGTGGTACAGCAGCAGCAGCAGCAGACGATGCTAAAGCAGCAGCAGACGGTGGTACAGCAGCAGCAGACGATGCTACAGCAGCAGCAGACGATGCTACAGCAGCAGCAGCAGCTGACAGTGCAGCAGCGGCTGACAGTGCAGCAGCAGCTGATGGTGGTACAGCAGCAGCAGCAGCTGTACCACCAATAGTAGCGATGGTTGATTGGGGTTTATTATACAACCTGGCCAGCTCGGAGACACGCACTCCACTTTCATACTTATCAATGATCTTTTTCTTCATCTCTATAGTAATTCTCACCCTTATTGCTCTAGGGTTGGCACTAGAAGCTTTCTTGGGGCCCATGGTCACTTATTTTCCAGAAAAAATCACCAAAAACACTGTAATAATACGAAATGTTCCGATTGTATGCTTGGATGTTACCGTGGAGGCTGGCTGGTAAACAATGCACTGGCGGAACATGTGAGGCTGGCTAAGGGCGCACATTGGACGCGTCTCGGACGAAGAGCGGTGAGCTGGTTTTTAGGCGGCATGCGAGGCAAAATTTTTGCGAAAAAAGCGAGCGGTATGCGGGGGTCCACTGTACAGTGGTCCCTCGATAGTCATCCTTTTTGGAAATCGGGACATTATTTTAGTCCAAACATTGGCTCGCAAATGGTCGGTTGACTTGTTAATCGTCATTCGTCCTGGACGCGTACTCGTGGCTCTGAGCCGCCTCAGCCTCCCTTCCCAGCCAGTGTGCCATTGTTTATTAGTGAGCAATGGTCCCCTCACTTGTTCGTACGAAATATTTCATAATATTCCATTCATTTTAGTGCTTGCAAGTGCTAAATAAGCTACCAAGGCTCCAAAGAAAGCTCCTAGTGCCAAGCCTTTGGTAAAGAAGGTGAGAAATATGATTGTACAACCATATCTTCCATCGTGGCCAAGAAAAAGGAAATCAAGGAAGCTGTTGACTCAAGAAATCGTAATGACACGATTGCAAACAAACCATACCCCCGGCCGGGATTGAACCCGCGGTCATAGAGTCTCAAAACTCCAGCCCGTCGCGTTAGTGGCTAACGCGACGGGCTGGAGTTTTGAGACTCTATGACCGCGGGTTCAATCCCGGCCGGGGGTATGGTTAGGAAGCTGTTGTTGCAAAGGGGGTAAATTTGCTGACAAAAATGAGATCACCAATGCTCGAAGAGGTTGAGAAGTTATTATTGGTGTGGATAAATGAGAAAAAATTAGCAGGAGCTAGTCTTATGATGTCGATTATTTGTGAAAAGGCTAGGCAGTTGCACGAAGATCTGGTAAAGAAATTTCCTGCAATGAGTACTGATATTTGTGAATCTAAGGCAAGCAAAGGTTGGTTTGAGAGATTTAAGAACTGTAGTGGCATACACAGTGTGAGAAGGCATAGTGAGGCTGCCAGTAAGGACAAAATTGCAGCCACAAAATTCGTAAGTGAATTCAAGGAGTACATAGAGGCTGAAGGACTGAAACCTGAAGTGTTTTAGTTGTGATGAAACAGGCATCTTTTGGAAAGAAAATGCCAAAGAGGACCTACATTACTCAGAGGAAAAGGGACTGCCAGGACACAAGCCTATGAAAGGACAGGTTGACACTAATGTTCTGTGCTAATGCTAGTGGGGATTTCAAAGTGAAGCCGTTACTAGTGTACCATTCTGAAAATCCTAGAGTGTTCAGGAAAAACAATGTTATGAACAGTAAATTGTGTGTGTGTTGGAGATCTAATAATAAGGCATGGGTCACGAGGGAAATTTTCGTCGAGTGGTCCAGTGAAGTGTTTGGCCCTAGTGTGAAGAATTACCTCCTGGAAAAGAAATTGGATCTCAAGTGCCTCCTAGTAATGGACAATGCTCCTGCTCATCCTCCAAACTTGGATGACCTAATTCTGCAGGAGTTTGGGTTCATCACAATAAAGTTCTTGCCCCCAAATACCACTCCTCTCCTCCAGCCCATGGACCAGCAGGTCATTTCAAACTTTAAAAAAAACTACACGAAAGCAATGTTTCAAAGGTGCTTTAATGTGACCTCAGACACTCGCTTGACCCTAAGAGAGTTTTGGAAAGAACACTTCAGTATCCTCCATTGCATAAGCCTTATAGGTAAGGCTTGGGAGGGAGTGACTACCAGCACTTTGAACTCTGCTTGGAGAAAATTGTGGCCAGATTGTGTCCACAAGAGGGATTTTGAAGGGTTTGTGGCTGACCCTGATGAGCCTATGTCAGTTTTGAACTCTGTTGTGGCATTGGGGAGTTCCATGGGGTTGGATGTGAGTTTGAGGATGTGGAAGAGTTGGTGGAGGACCACAACGAAGAGCTAACCACTGAAAAGCTGCAAGAGCTTCAGCAGGAACAGCAGCAGATAGCAGCTCAGAATCTTGCTGCAGAGGAGGAGGAAGAGAGATGGAAGAAGGTGCCTTCTTCAGAAATTAAAGAGATTTTTGAAATGTGGGGTAGGATGGAAAGATTTATGGAGAAACATCACCTTGAGAAGGATGTTGCAAGCCATATCGGCAACTTGTACAGTGACAGAGTCTTGGCCCATTTTAGGGAAGTTTTAAAGAGACGCCAGAAACAGAGCTCTCTGGACACTTTTTTTGCGAGACAGGACTCCAGTGACTCTCAAGCTGGTCCTAGTGGCATTAAGAAACAGAGAAGAGAAGTAACCCCAGAAAAGCACTTGGTACCTGAGGTGTTGATGGAAGGGGATTCCCCTTCTAAACAGTAATTCAATTTTTCTCCTCCTCCAGTCTTCCATACACTAAGAAGAATCGCCAATAAAGGTAAGTATTATGCTGTTAATGTTTCATTACATTATTTCTTACGGGGAAAATTTATTTGAAAATCGTCCATTTCGATAATCATCGCACTTCCAGGAACGGATTAATGACGATCAACGAGGGACCACTGTATATGCAATGTAGGCTTGCGTGTAGTGGAGTGAGGAGATATGAAATTCACATTCAAATTTTTATTTCTTTGCATAGTTTACAATGTGTGACTGACATGTTATAAGGGCTTAGGAGCACATTCAATACCAGGGTCCAGTTTGTATGGCTCTTAGGTTCCCAACCCTGTGCGGTGAGTGAAAATCACCAGTGGTTAGAAAAGTGTTTTTTTTTTATTATTATTATTATTATTGAATGCCTCTAAAGCTCCTGATAATGTGTTTACACTATCATATATTATGTGCTTAATACAGCTAGGCATAAAAAAACGTAAATAAGTAAAATAAACACTACATACAATACTCACCTTAAAATAAGGTGCTACTCGATCTACCCTTACTCAGCTGTTGTGCAAAAATGGTGGAAAAGTGGTAAAAGCACCAAACATGATAAACAATGACACAGTTGAAAGAAACCAAAAATGTGGAACACCAAAAAGAGGGTGCTGAATACTCAGTGTCCTCCTGTACTTCCATTCAGTTATGTGCAAAGCTGCAACATATTCCAGAGAATGTTATGATCTCAGTTGTCCAGACCATCATGTGAAAGGAATGCAGTGCCTCAGAGACAGTAAGGAGATAAAAAATGAACTGCAGTCTTTTTAAGACAAGGAAAAATGAACAGACTCACAGAAGAGGACAAACAAAAATACTATAGATAGGACAGAGGTGCACAACAGTGAGACAAACAAAATCAGCCATATACGTACTAAACAAAGTCGAATGTACAACAGACAAATGCACAATCAATACTGAAGAAACCAGGGGTATGTACACCAGGGGCCATACCAGGTAGTACATCACTAGTGGTACAAGTCGGCCACCACTAATTCTACAATCAGTAATCTCGTTCCATCAGTAATCCAGCACTAATTTTGGC